CTGCCCCCGTCCTGCCGTGCTCCCATGTGTGGACCGAGGGCAACGCTGGCTGTTCCCCCCCCTCAAACAAGCCGCTCACGTGGTATGTCCCCTCAGGTGAGGATCGCAAAGCAGCTGACCCTGGGAGGCACCATCCTGCCAGCGGGCATCGCCATCCTGAGCCCGTACAGCGCCCAGGTGTCAGAGATTAACAAGCGTCTCGCCCAGCAGGGGATCCGCGGGATGACCGTGTGCACCATCACGAAAAGCCAAGGTGAGGCCCGTCGGGGGGGAGGGGGGCAGAGTTCGACGGCGGCGTTTTCCAGCTGGTGGGGAGCGAGACGTGGCCCTCCTCCCCCAGCCTTGCCCCACACAGTCCCAGGGCTCGCTTCAGCCGGCGAGGGGAGTCCTAGAGCCACCTACTTAAAGAACCCCTCAAGTCTGTGTCCCAGGGAGCCAGCCACCTGGCTGGAACCAGCTGTTGAACCCGAGCAAGGGGTGAATGATGCCCAGAGAACCCACTGGGGGTGCTAACCGAGCTGTCAACAAAGGGCTCAGCGGTAGGACAGCTGCTGTCCTACAAACGATTGTGGGATGGAGGAATGGCTCCAAGCGCTGGAGGGACACAGCTGTAGGTTGCTATATTTTCCCTGTAGAGGAATGGATGTTATTCGAGAAGGGAAACCTACCTGCAGCCCTGGAAACACTGATCATTTTCCCATCAGTAAAACGGGTGCCGTTCCTTCTGTCTAGGGAGCGAATGGAAGTATGTGATCCTGTCCACCGTGCGCTCCTGCGCTCGGTCAGATATCGACAGGAGACCCACCAAAAGCTGGCAGAAGAAGAACCTTGGGTTTGTTACTGACCCAAACCAGGTCAATGTCGCCATCACTCGGGCTCAGGAGGGGCTCTGCATTATAGGTGAGTATGCCGGGAAGAGGCCTGGACTAAGGGTGGGAGAGGAAACGCCATAGAAGGAAGGGGGATAAAAACATGAGAGCGGCCATATTGGGTGAGACCAATGGTCCAGCTAGCCAACAGTGGCCAATGGCAGGCGCCCCAGAGGGAGTGAACACAACAGGGAATCCTCACGTGATCCTGCCATCCATTTCCAGCCTCTGACATATAAAGGCCAGGGCACCATCCCTGCCCAGCCTGGCCAATAGCCATTGATGGAGCTAACCTCCATGAATGTATCTAGTTCTTTTTTGAATCCTGTTCAAGTCCTGGTCTTCACAACATCCTCTGGCGAGGAGTTCCACAGGTTGACTGTGCGCTGCATGAAGAAAAACTTCCTTTTGTGCGCTTTAAACCTCTGCTACCTATTCATTTCATGTGGTGACCCCTAGTTCTTAGGTTATGGGAACAAGTAAATAACTTTTCCTTATTCACTTTTTCCACACCAGTCATGCTTTTATAGACCTCTATCCTACCCTCCCCCCTTTCTAAGCTGAAAAATCCCCCTCTTTTTAATCTCTCTTCATATGGGACCCTTTCCAAACCCCTTATCATTTTCAAACGTAGAAACAAAAGATTCAAACTTAGAGGCAAAAGATGGTCTTATTTCATTTTTCTATCCTTTACAATGACAATGATTTTGAAATTTGGAGTGGCCAGGAACCAGCCCATGTGTTGGAACTACCCCTCCGAGTTGAAAGCATTGGTCATCCCTGGGTCTTGCATGTTGGTTACACATGTTCTGCGTGCATTACCTTGTTTCTCTGGGCTTGATCATTCTTTCTTTGCGCGCATGCTGACACTAGTCCAGCAGAACTGGACCTGTTGCTATTTCTCTGTTGGTCACATGGACAGACACCAGGCTACGTTTACTAGGGATGGTAAATTGCATTTCATCAGCTAATCGAGAAGTCGATGGGGAAACTGCACAGCTGCAGCTCCAGGTCCCGCTGTGCCTCTGCCTTTTAAATGGCGGCTTTTAATACATTTAAAAAGCAGAGGCGCAGCCTATGGGACTACCTGCTCACGCCCGGTCCCCCCACTGCGCCTCTGCCTCCCCTGCTCCCCACGGAGATGCTCCTGCTCCCTTGCTCTGATAGAGGCAGCCGGAGGGCGGGGGGAAGGCTACTAGTCGAGTCACTACTCGATCAGCATATGCTAGTCGCTTCCATCCCTAGCGTTTGCCGTGACGTGGCAGTGGTGAGAACAGGCTGTGTTAGGGCCCTGCTTGGGGACTTCGGGGCTAAAGGAAATGGCTTTCTCCTGTAGGCCCAGAGGTTCTAGACATGGGTCTCCCAGATGTTCCTCGGTCTGGGATGGGAACTTTAAGCCCTTTCCACTCACTCTTTTTTCCCTTCTGCTAACAGGAAACCGTTACCTCCTGGAATGTAACCCTCTGTGGAGACGACTGCTGGAGCATTACAGGCATGCGGGATGCTACACTTTCGCTCAAGACATTCAGGTCCGGAAGAAGTCAGCCCTGCGCTGATGGGAATGGATCACAACTGGATAAACCGGTCCCTGCCCAAAATGTTTGATTGGGCCCATCAGGGAACAAACCTCTTTTCCGCCCATCAAGCACGTACCACTGTACAAAATGCACCAGGGATTGGCAGCTGCACTTTCTTTGTCTGTTGACCACTTACTTTTCATTTAAAAAAAAAAAAAAAAAAAGGCAACCTTGGGTCAAAACATTCAGCATTTGCAAACCAAAAAGCTGAGGAAGCCGACGGAGACGGGTGGCGATTGTGCTTTTTTGGTGGAAGCCAAGAGTTCCTCTGTGAAATTCTCAGCCTGCCTTTTTGTGAGAGCAGCTGTTCTTTGGGGACCAACTATTTCTACTTCCTCAGGAGCCGCACGACGGCATGCGACAGACTGACGGTCCGAGCCGTGATGTGCCAGACCATGACCAAACCTGCCGAGTGCTACCATTAAAGCTAAATCCGAGGCCAGGGACCTATTTGGGCTGTCTCACTTCTCAAAGCAGAAAACCCCATTTGGGTTTTACTTTAAATAAAGGAAGAAATGGGGTAGGAGAACAAAACAAAAATGCCCCAGCCCAAAACAAGACCTGGAACATGAAATATTTGTGGCCTTTCAGAACTGGTAAATATCACTTAGCCAAGGCCAAGTATTTTTATAAATAGACTCATTGTCTCTTCATGTAAAGGAGGTTGTTGGGAGCTGTATGCAAGTGAACGAGAAAAACAGCCTCTACCAGCAGATTTGGACATTGTAAAGAGATTTTTAAACTGCCCGCCTAGTTTGACTTGAAAATGTTTCCTTTTGTAAAAAATGTTTTTTTCTCTCTCTCTTTTCTTTAAAAAAAGAAAAAGCTGCTTTTAACTTATTGACTTTTAGTTCCATGAACTTTGCTTCACAATCTGTGGCCCGTACTTTCGCTAACAGCGTCGGTTCTGTGGTAGGTGGGTGTGTCTGTTTTTAAAATAGCCCAGTTGTTGTGAACTGGAAGAGGTGACAATCCTTAGAAGACAGGAGGCTGACGGGAACAGGGATGATGTTTTTCCCAAGAAGTCCTTTGGGATTGTACGTGTAGTAACGAAATGGCACGCCGCACTGAGCCTTGGAAACTGCAGCTGCTTCCGTACCTATGGGATGTATGGGGAGCCGGGGCCTTTATCTCCTTATTCCAGTTCGGAGTATATGTGGGCTTGCCTCCACATTTCCTGAGACCACACACACGGACACCTGCCGATAGACGTCTGTGGAAGACTGAGCCAAGCTGCCGTTGCAGCATTTTTGCATCCAACAAAAACAAGGCGGGCCTACTGCCCTCACTGGTGTATCTGTTGACCTGTGGAATTGGAGTGCTTTGACCCTTCCTGTTCAGTTTGACTCATGTACAGCCAAAGAAAGGACAGATCCTTGCTTTCCTGCCTCCCCTAGCCTTGGGTATCGGTATCCGAGAACACGCACATCTGCTCTCCTAATACTGCAGCACATGGGTGTGCGTCCCTCTCTGAGGAAAGAATGTAGAAGGTTTCCTCGCACAGGGAAAGGCTGGTCCTAGAATGTGAGGCCATCTGGGATCCCCGACTCATCCGGATTGACCTCTTGTTATATCACAGGCCAGTAACAGTACCCGGCCTCACGCTGCGCCAGCAACCAAAGTATTACAGCTCTCAGGAGACTAAATATCATGTGCCACGGGCCGAGAATGCATGATTTCTTGGGCCTGACAGCTGTCCCACACTGAAGCCTCTTATCTCAAGGATTCCAAGCGGGCCTTGTTTTTGCAAACAAAGTGTTTGTACAAGTCCGGGATAAACTGTCCAGGGATCACTTCATGCACCAGGGAAAGGAATGGGGGAAAGACCGTATTGGAACCCTTAAGTAAAACACATCAGTGTGATGCGCACACCCCTACAGCTAGAACAGGGCCTAGCTAACACACGACGGGCACGTCTGTGGTTACAAGAAGATCGACGCTTCGGAGGACGATCTAGCGTTCGATTTAGCAGGTCTAGGACAGACCCGTAAATCAAATGCTGAAGGCAGCTGCTGTCAGCGACTGGTACCCCTCCTGCAAGGAGGGAGGGAAGCCAGTGGGAGTGCTCTCTCCCGTTGGCCTCCCGCTCTGTGGACACAGCCACGGCTTGGCGTAAGGTAAGCCGACTCCAGCTACATGTTTTGCACAGCTGGAGTTGCGTACCTTAAGCCGACCTTCCTGGTCTAGTGTAGACCAGGCCTGACTGTGGTCCCTTTTAAACACAGTGAGCTTCATCCTCCTAGCATAAATCTGGAGTTTTTTCATGAAAAGAATGCAGGTTAAAGCAGTGGACAACTGGTATAAATGAGATGCAAATCAGATGCACTGTAGGGGCTTGGTTTGATCCTGCAGAGCGTTATTTAGCTGGGTTACCTTTTGCTGGACCATTTTCCACTTTTTTATATATAACCCCCCCCCCCCAACCAAACTACTGCACCTTGTGAAGTAAAATCCAGAGTGAGGTATGGTGATCAGTCACTGTTACCTGGTATCAGCAGCTCCTCTCAGGACTCTGGTTCTGCAGGAGCTAGGCCTCAGAATGTGTGTGTACAAAGCACTGCCCTACAGCTGACAGGCCGCAGTGAGATCCCGGCAGGCTGCAGGGACGTTGTAAATAGGTAACTGCGTCATTGATCACGCAGCCTCAGTAGCCAGGGCGTAGCAGGAAGTGCAATTCACGTGATGTTTTGTGTCCCTGAGTGGTGTGTTATGGATATTGTCTTGTGCTTATGGATATACAGGATCATAAAAGTTAAAATGGAGAAGACTCATTAAATGGAGTCCAGTGATGTGCACAGGGAGATGTCAGTCGGTTATGACGGCAGGATTTTTACCTAAAACTTGTTGACATAAGGCAAATCGTTTTTATTATTATTACGGGGGAGGGGAACCCATGCTGGAATTCCAGTGGGGCGTGTCTGGCATGACGGTGTGCCAGCCGCATCACAAGCAGCACCGCATCTTGGATAAATCAAGGCTTGCAGATGGTAAAATAGGAGCCCCGCGTGGCGTCCAGGAGAGACTGTGACGGGGAAACGTGAGATTGGGGGGCATACGTCCTTTTAGCATGAACTCCAAGTGACCATAGGGGCGTGCCCAAAGAACAGCACGAGGGTTGCGATTTGGGCTGAAAGGTGTCCAGGCTAGTCCCGAGTCCCCTAAGAGATAGTACCCCAATCTAAGCAGAGCACCCTCTCTACCCCCACTCCTCTGCAGGAATTAGTGGACGGGGGGAGGGGCTGTCTGATTCTCAGCCAGAAGACAGGCACTTGTGAAAACTGGCTTGGTGGGACATGTCCCTGCAGGAGAATAGAATCGCCTTCCCCAGCATTAGCCAGAATTTGACCCTATGTGAGTTCAGGAAAGGTGATCTGCATGCAGCGCAAACAGCGTCTCAGGTGTCAATCGGATTGAGTAGTTTTAATGTTTAGCCATCTCCCCTGGGTCTGCTCTTGATCCCAGCGAAACCAATAGAAGAATTCTCTTTGGCTCCAGTTGGAGCAGGTCCGGGCGCACTGGGCAGGTCTGGAGGAGCTGCAGAGCCGTGTACAGACCGATTTACTGCAATAAATCAGTTTTTCGATGGAAATAAAACATTACATGTCATGAAATGCAAATTAAGGCACCTTAAATGTAACGGGTTTTTTGTTATTTTGTGTGTGTCTCTAATGTGACTGGTAAAAGCTTTTACAACTACATTTTGGATACAAATATTTTTATCTGCTTCCAGTGTTTTTAAATAAGTCCCTTGACATTCCTGTTTCCTATTTAAGCCATAATTGTAAAGATGATTGAATTTATTAAATGAAAAATGTTTGTTTCTGATGCATTTGAGGTCTCTGTGTCTCCTTGCTTGGATAGAATCCGGGCTCTGCTTAGTTGACAGGATTCTACGGAACTGAGTCTGGACTGAAACAGACGGGAAAAGAGGAACTGAGCAGGAACCTCAGTATTCAGCGGAGGAAACTGTTTTCCAGAGGATGATCTTGTGGGATTTTGCTCTTTCCTGCTTTAAGTCAAGAAAGGATCTTTCCCTGCACTGTAAAGCATCCCTAGAGGGTGGAAAATAAGAGGGCAGAGGCTGGTGAGAGGAACCTGGGAATGGAAACTGGACCGTGATGAAGGAGGTTGGGGACTGGGATTTGGGTGAGAGTGTGTGCATAAAGGGAGTACTATGGGCAGTGAGGAAGAAACACAAGCAGTGAGAGAAAGAGCAATGAGAAGAGAGGTTGCACTAGAAGAAGTGCTGGGTCAGCTGTTTTTTTGTAGAAAGCCACTTGGACAGTGGATAACCTGTGTCTAAATTTTGTTTTGTGTCTGACACAATGTGGTGATCTTTTACTCACTGCTATAGTCTCCCTAGCCTACTCCCTTGGATGGGCAGGTGGCCTTTAATGGCAATAGATGGTGTAAGACTGGGGGGTAGTAGGGTCCTGGTGAATACACGAATGGGTTGCTGTCTCTTAAACTGTAGTGTCTTCAGCCCGGAAGATCGATATGAGGCACTTTATAAAATTACAATTTGAGACAGAACAAGTTCCATTTTATGTAAAAAAACCTTTAAAAATACATTTTGAAAATTTTACTTTTTTGAATGGATAAAATTAGAAAATTCTCATCTGCGGTCTCATCCGTCAGGGTTCGCCCACGGGGCTCTCCATGTCTTCGTCAAGGTGAGGTTTTGTCTTCAATGTGATGGAATCGCGCCACTGTTCATAGACAAGCGTGTAAGTCTCTGCCCTTTTAACCGCGAATCTGTACGATCTGTCGGACAGCAGGTTCCGGATTTCACAGGTGTTGGACGTGACCGGCATGATTCCGCTCTGCATCCTTTCTTGCTGAGTTCGGGGCTCCAGGAGCTTAAACCTGAGCTCGTACTGCTCAGGTTGGGACTGTGGACTTGTGAAAAACCACCTGAGGCTCACCCAGTCCTCGTGTGCCACGGATTCCTTTCGGTCGAACATCACTGGCATCTTGGTGCTCAGAACCAGCCTAATATGTGGGATTTTGGTAGCCCCGACATCCGACACCAGACGGTGCTTCACATGCAGCTTTCCCGGCACTAGCATGGCGAGGAAATTATCCATCTGCTCAGACAGATTCGACAACTTTTGCTTGACCAAATCCCACCTGGCGAGGAACGTTACCATGTCGTAGGTCTCCAGGAAGTGGACCAGCTCCTCCCGCCCTTGTTCCAGTTGCTCTAACAGGTCAGTTAAGAGCAACAGCTGGATTTTGGTTTGGACTGTTCCCACCTTCTTCATCCTCTGGAATCGCCAGGGGTCAATCAGCTGGAACATGGTGGTGGGAAGCATGAGGTGGTTCTGGTCTCCCAGGGCCAGATGCTTGGGCAGGATTTCAATGTAATAAGAGCACTTTTTCAGGAGCTCGATTCGCTTATGGTGGCGTTTCAGCAGGTGGAGGTTCAAGTCAGAGTGGAGGAACTCCAGCACAATGCTCTTCCTCTCCATGTACATCTTCCAGGTTTCATTCTCCTGGTCCTCCTCTTCGTTGTACAAGATACTCTGCAGATTGTTCTCGATCTCATTCAAATACACATCCATGGTCCCAAAACTCATGGTTGCTGTGCAGGAAAGCAACAATAACACTTTAAGAATCCAAGGAAAAGCAGCCCGTATGGAGTGTACCACGGTGGTGACTGCTGTTGCCTTTATACTCCTTTAACATTCATTATACATTATTTTTAGAAATTAGAGATGGGATAAGAACTGTGAGACTCAGCCTCCCTCCCAATGCACAAATGTTTGAATGCTTTGTCTAGTCTGGCCCTAAATATCCCAAGTGACTGGGCTCCTCCTATTTCCCTTGAGAGACTGTACCGTCATTGAATAGTTAAAAACATCAGAATGGCCATACTAGGCCAAACCAATGGTCTGTCTAGCCTGGGATCCTGTCTTCCAACAGTGGCCAATGCCAGGTGCTTTAGGAGAGTAAACAGAACAGGACAATTATCAAATGATCCATCCAATTGGCCACTCTTAGCTCCCAGCAATCAGAAACTGGGGACGTTCAGAGCACGGGGTTGTGTCCTTGCCCTTCTCTAAAAGCTGTTGATAGACCTACCTTCATGAACTTAACTAATTCGTTTATTTTTTAATCTCACTCTAGTTTTGCCCTTCACAACGTCCTCTGGCAAAGCGTTCTACCGGGTGACTGTGTGTTGTATGAAAAAACAGCTTTTTCCTCATTCTTGCTGGTCATTCACACTTCTCATAGCGGAAGAAATTTCCATCCTTCCCTTAATTTGCTTAGCCAAACTATACGTGCATACGGGTCTCAGGTTTTTCTTGGCGGCAGCTGCAGGGCATTTGCTTCAAATCAGCTTGACAGCTGCTCTTTTAAAACCCCTCCAATCTATCAATCTCTCTCTGGGACTCTAGAGGTCCGAACTGAATGTGACAGTCCCAGTATGAGCTCAATAGAGTTGTAAAAAGAGGAGCTATCACCTGTCCTTTCTGTTTGACAGCCTGCAACCTATTGAAAATCAATGTTTGCAATGACAAATCCTTCTCTCTTCCCCCTTTTGTTGAATTTGCATTATAATGGCCCAGAATGAATGATATTTGTTGTCATGTGGTGAAACATGTAAACATTTCCCTGTAACAACTTGACCTAAAACACGGGAAAAATAAATGTGAATGAAGTAATGGTTAATCCGGTCAGAGATGTGACCATGGAAACTACCTTTTCTAACTCCACGTCTGCTCCGTCTCCTTTGCTGGATCTGTTTCCTACACTGACCAAGGCGAGGTTGCTATTTGACACTGCTGCTTCCCAGCCAATGGTCCCATGGAAGACCTGCCTGCATTATACTTGAGTTGAGGTATCTATGGCTTAGGTATCAAAAACAGAATGGTCGGCTAAATTCCGGTTCTTGAATCTTCTCTGAGCGTGATAATGACTGAACCAGAATGCAGCTTGTTTTGTGTGCCAGGTTGATGTTCATATTTAGACTTGAAAACTGAACACCGGGGATACGGAAGAAAAAGAAAATGTTCAATATCAAAATGTTGCTTTGCTAGCTCTAGCTACACGTCAATCCTACAAAGCAGGTGCTAGTGATACAAACTGAGAACAGTGCTCAGGGACTCATCTGACAGCCATGCCATTATAAAGTATTTACAGCGCATAATGCTGATATTTTATTCTTCCTCCTCACATGTTTTCTGACAAGACTGCGTTACCTAGTGGGTAGAACAGAAGCAATCTGTGGCCCATTATCCCCATTTATATAATGTGACTGGTAATACTTAACTTCCTCCTGGGACATTATATTATGAGGTATAATTACATTTGTAACGTGCTTTCAGATCTCTGGATTAAAAGAGCAAAAGTGTGACTTATTTCTCAGGGTGAGTGAGGTAATGCCTTTTATTGGACCGGCTTCCAGGGGTGAGAGAGAAAATGTTGAGCTTTCAGGGTGTACCTTTCCCAGGCCTAAAGAAGAGCTGTGTGTAGAAAGAAAGCTTGTCTTTGGCACTGACAGCTTGGTCCAAGAAAAGATGCTGCCTCCTTCATCTCGTCTCTCTGATACCAAAATGGCTACAACACCGTGTACACTTATTTCCTTCATTCCCAGGGATGCCTTTTCAAGGATATTGTCAATTCAAACATTGTGAATTTTTTTAAACTTTATTATTCCCACCAGAATAATGCAGGAAAACAATGGAAATTGAAATAATTGACACACAGGCACCACTGTATGAAATGTACTATAGAGCTAGCAGCTTATCAAGTCATAGCAAAGACTGGTCCTGTGACATATTAGAAAAATTATTTTTTTAAGAACCATTTTTCATCCAATTTTTGACTGAATATTTTTGACTCACTCTAGTGTATTTGTCCTTTTCATATTTGTTCATTTTTTTTAATTGTATCCTTTGGTATATATGGTTGTGACTATTTTCTTCCACTATTTGATCTGAGGAAGTGGGTCTGGCCCACGAAAGCTCATCATCTAATAAACCATCTTGTTAGTCTTTAAAGTGCTACATTGTCCTGCATTTTGCTTCAGCTACCCCAGACTAACACGGCTACATCTCTACCACTATTCTATTTCAAAATAAGTGCTGTGTAGAGGCTCCCAATTTCAAAATAAGCTATGCAATTGACGTAGCTCAATTTACGTGGCCTATTTCGAGTTAAGCCCTGCTGTGCACCCTTAAAGAGCTAACATTTATTTAGGTGCAAGTATTTGTGAGTTGGACTACCACTTTGTCCACTGCGTAAGCCCACAAAAGCTTCTGCCCAGATAAATGTTAGTCTTTAAGGTACCCTAAGACTCCTCGTTTTCACTAAAACGGACTAACAGGGCTACCCGTCTGAAACTTACTGGCTTACGTGGCCCATCAGGGTTCTATGTATGGCTCATAAGACGTTTTGTTTTCTGTTGCCCAGACGCAGAGGGGCCACATTCTGTTGGTTTCTGTCCATGTAGGCTTTCTTGCTACTGGTATCACTAAAGGGACACATGCGTTCAGCAAGAGCATGTGCCGTGAGGTGTGGGCTGATTGTACACAAAGCTGACCGTGGGAGCCATGTGCTCCCTCAGCAGCCAATCAAAGTGCTGCGATGGTCCATGGGCCCAACCCACCAGTTCTAGGGACGCCAGCGCACTGAGCAAAGCCACCCGATCCCGGGGGTCTGCCTTGCTTACAGCAATCGTGTGGCCCCACTGTGATGGAGGACCACTCAAGTGGCCCGCCCTCTAGCGGAGGCTGCTCATTGCTGTTTCAGAGGATGGAAAACCAAGCTTTTGCAAAGCTAAATCAAAGCGGAATGGAATGATTGCTGCGTGCCATTGGACCAGAGAGGCTTTTCAAGCAGCTGCAGGGCTCGATGGAGGTGTGGGGACCTAGAGGCATGCAGTAATAGCAGGAATTGGGGCCTAAAAGTGAAACCAGGGCGATGCCGAAAGTGGCAACAGGCTGCAGTTGCCAGTGGAAGTGGCTTTTGCTTTGTTCGGGGAGCCCAAGGAAGAGGCAGCGGGATGAGGGAGACGTGAATTCAGACGGCAACAGGGCTCTCAGCTTTCGTCAGGGAGGGTGATGTCGTTTGTTGGGAGTGAGGCTGAGGAAGCTGAGGAACCTGGGGCCGTTCCAGCCAGCAGCCCTGACTGGGGGCCTAGCGGGAGGCTGGTGCTGGCCATAGGGGACACAGGCTCCAGTAGCGCTGAACTGCCTCTGCTTTTGTGTCTTCTGCTTTACCCCAGAAAGTGGAAATTGTTCCTCTTTATGGGTAGGACAGAGCAGAGCCCAGTCTGACTGTCACGGGGGGCCAGCCACCTGGACAAGGAGGGGTGCCTCTGGCAAGCCAGGGCCAGCGGCTGCTCCAGCTGGAGGGGAGACCACAGGCAATAAGGTTATCTGGGGTTTGCCCCCCACCAGCTGGGGAGAGCCAGGCCTGCTGAGCTTTCACCCTCTGTGCTCAGAGAAGGGACCCCCCCCCTCACTGTTTGAGGGCTCCCTTTAGCCTTTGTGCTGGCTTCTGGGAGAGGGGGGGGCTATCAGTTCCAGTCTCTCTGCCCCACACCTGCAGAGCCCTTCCCCCTCCCTGCCCCTCCCCACAAACT